TAGACATCAACTTTCAAATACCTGAACAGTCTGTGCACCAAAATGTGCTGGACAGATGCTCCAAATATACTGCGCAGTTTAAACCTACAAAAAAAAAATACCTAAAAGTATCGTGTATCTCATGCCCTCTCAGCTTAGTTTCATATTCCATCATTATATAGCCAGCTGTAGACTGCAAGAGGTCATCGGAGCAGACTCCTGTAAGCGAGGGAGGACAGGTGGATGCTGTAGTGGTCAGGGAGCTGTGCATGGATGACACAGAGATGGAAAGTCAGTTATATGGATTTTATACACCGATCAGGCATAACATTATGACCACCTCCTTGTTTCTATGCTCATTGTCCATTTTATCAGATCCACTTACTATATAGGTGCACTTTGTAGTTCTACAGTTACAGACTGTAGTCCATCTGTTTCTCTACATACTTTGTTAGCCCACTTTTACCCTGTTCTTCAGTGGTCAGGACCCCCATGGACCCTCACAGAGCAGGTACTATCTGGGTGGTGGATCATTCTCAGCACTGCAGTAACACTGACGTGGTGGTGGTGTGTTAGTGTGTGTTGCGCTGGTCTGAGTGGATCAGACACAGCAGTGCTGCTGGAGTTTTTAAACACCTCAGTGTCACTGCTGGACTGAGAACAGTCCACCAACCTGTGACCACTGATGAAGGACTAGAGGATGACCAACACAACCTGTGCAGCAGCAGATGAGCTATCGTCTCTGACTTTACATCTACAAGGTGGACTGACAGAAGAAAAGGAGGCAGTGAGCTTGTTTGTGAAGGTTACCTGTGCGCCCAGTCTGGATAGATAGCGGTTGCGCAGGCCAAAGGTGGACATGGGCTTCAAACGAGCCAAGTCGTCCCGCATGCGCCGTACCTCCCTGAGAGAGAGAGAGAGAGAGAGAGAGAGAGAGAGAGAGAGAGAGACCTTTGAACAGACATCAGACCAGGCGATTAATCAAGTAATGAGTTCATAAAGGACAAACAACAAAAATAGGCTTGTGAAATACATCAATACTGGTCTAAAAGTAGCCTTCAATATGTTTTGTGTTACGCAGTGTATCTTCCTCCATCAGTGTTCTCTCACTACAATACCCAGCATGCACTGCGCAAATGCAACTTACAACCATTGGGGATTCCTCCTCCACAGAGATCTGGCTTCCTTCTGCACTACCCAGATAGTGAGGAAAACACTATCCGCCCCAAAGCTGTTGTAGTTATTCACAAGTTCCTTTCACCTTCAAGGTACATCATCAGAAGGTGTTCCTAGTCTTTAAACCAGAAAATCTCTTAGGCCTATCGTGGAATCGCTGTAGGTGGTGAGTGCGCATGTTTACAACAGATGTAGTGATGGTTTTGTTATTCATTTTGTCCAGAATGCCCCTTTAACTCAACGATAATAAAACTATGCATAGCGCTGTTGTCGGAAGAGAACGTTGTATCTCCAAAATGATAACAGGAAAAGGAAAAAACATACTTTACGTACTTTACTTTATGTAAGTCAATGGAACCAGACGTCTTTCCAAGTTGTCTAAAAAACTAAAAAAATGACAAAAATGGAGATACGAAGTTTTCTTCCGACAGCAGCGATAGACTTTTAAAGAATCTTAAGTACTGAAAAAGAAAAACGAAAAGGAAGCCTATTCAAAGAATGATTTTTACTGTAAGGCAGATATTAGAATTGAAATATGCATTATCATTGTAAGCTGTTAAATAATCACTGTACACTTAATAATTATGACAGCCCTAACTTAAAGTAAGCTTAAAATTTAATTAAAAAAAAACAAAAAAAAACACCACTATCATGTATTTGCAGAACCAGCCAAGCAATCAAAAGATACCAAATGTAATGACATTTTTATTAAATTCTCCCGATCCTCAGTGTGTACAAAACAAACTAATAAAACCAACACAATTTCTTCAGTTCAGGCACACAGCAAAAGGCACACAGATAGTGAGGAAAACACTATCCACCCCAAACCACCCCCAGACTTTTTCTCTCCCTGACACAAAGACTGCACCTTTCTGCAAACTGTGAATGTGACTCCACACTTAACACCATAACAGAGGGTCACTTTAAATTCCTATATTTTCCAAACAGAACACAACATTTTTCGTCATACTGATTGGACAGCCTTCACATCTGGTTTACACATCAAAAGGACTCGACTAAAAGATGAAAACTTCTGAATTACAATTTTTGATACTTGTGCAAATCTAAACTGGTTGCTGGTTATAGCAGAAATGACTGGAAGTGTGTCTGTTTACTGACAACAGATTGCAGACCAAAAGGCCAATTTAGAGAGAGTCCAATTTTTATAAACGTCATATTTTGCAAGCGATCACATGCATATTAATGAGTACTTGGTGGGAAAAGGCCTTAATCAAGAAGCACTGACGTTAATAACATTCACATGGACTGTAATTTAGAAAGCCAGTCTGCAGTGGAGAGTCTGAACAAACATGTTTATTGGCTCACTGACTTAAACCCTATTTGGACAGGATCAGTTCTCCATGGTGGAGGTGGGTAATGCCAGTTTACCACAGGATGTCTGTGGTGTTTATGACCGAGTTGCATGAGTATAAATGATAGAGATGCGGGTGGCTACTTGATTTACGCACCGCCTTTAGTCCAGAAAAGAGCAGAAAATGTCAAAACATTTAATTTAGCTCTTATTTCGATAATTTACCTCGCTGTCTTGAGTGATTGCAGTGAGCCATTAGCAATGCCATTAGCTTGGGAACTCACAGCAGTCATCATCACTGCATAAAATAAAATCAAAGAATTTTTTTGTAATTTTTACATGTTCTAAGTCAGGGGTCAGCAACATGTGGCAGAATTAAGATTTTTCGGTAAAAATAAAACAATCCTCCTTTACAGTAAAATAAAGCTCTGCTGATCGTTCAACACAGTTTAACACTAAATGGTCTTAAACGCTGGAGTTAATGTAGCCTATATCTGATAATTCACCACCCTTTAACCCTTAAGACTGACGCACAGACTGCCGATGACCATAGCAACACAGACAACAATATTGCCTAGCTAGCAGCTAACTAAAAGGCAAAGAAAAGGATTTAAGAAGAACATTGATCATTTGGAGAAGAACGGACTTAAATTAAATGGACATTTATAATCACTCCAGCTGGTTTCCTGATACGTCTAATCTGCAACGAGAAACTGTCAGACAACAAAAAGTCGCAAAGCTGAAGTCAGATTCTCATTCGCCAGCTTCTATTTCAAATTTTCCCGTTCCACCTTAAATGGAGTAACGTTACATACCAACTTTAGCCACAGAGAACACAAATCAATGCTTCTTTGAGCCTCCATACTTAAACTCCTTTTCCACAGAATGAGTGTTTTTATCAACAACTCGATTTGCACAGGATTAATATAACCTGAGGTTATTTCTAAATGACTGACATGGTGCATTCGGATAGGGAATTACTGAGAGGCAGTAATATTATATGTATATATTAATATATATAACATTACCCTACTTCTTCATGTAAAACTAATCCTGTCCAAATAGGGCTTTGGGTAGAGAAAGCTGATACTGAATTACATGGAATCTTGCGACAGTAATTGATAATTGGTCATCGAAACCATAAAATATTGAATTTGGATGCCCAGCACTACATCAAAGTCAACTCAGCAGTGAGAAAGTGATTCGACCCAAACTATAGGGACTGAGGCAAGCATATAATATTTCTGACCACTGAATTAAATACTTTGTGAGTACATTTCCAGACCCTTCCCACGTTGCATTCTGTAAAGTTTTTGTGGTTTTGGTTTGCTTAAATCTGTGCAGTGCGAAACCAAATCGGAACAAATAGAAAAGGAAACAAAAGTATCAGTTTCACACTGAGTCGGCCTGGGCAGGCAGACTAAACAATGAGAAAACGCCCTTACATTATTTGCTAAGTTGCAACTCGCCCATTTGATTTAACATGCACAAATAAAACCTGGACAAAACACTCAAAGAAGTAACCAAAAACAATGTAATAATATGATCAAAAAGCCAATTTGGCTGTAAAGAACTCTGAATCAGGTAATCAGATGATCAGTGCACCTCTAAGGTAGGCGTTACATGGTGAAACATTTATGCAACTAGCTGCATGTTGTGAGTTGCCTGCAACATAACTTCTATTGTTGTTGTAAAGTCACTGCAAGGTGTAAATATTTATATATTTACAGCATGTTTATCATCTTTGTGTGATACTTATATATTTCACTTTTATCTGTCGAGTGTATGTAAGCTTAAAATAAAATCTGTGTAAAATCATGGGGCGTCAAGAACAGATGTTAGCTAGTTATTATGTCTTGTTAAAGAAACGTTATCCCTGAGAAACTCACTTTTGTCATCATCACTCAGGAAACTGACAAAATTTGAGCACCGGTTGACTGAAGGTCTCCTTGTCAACCGCCCAATAAACCATCTTTTATTTTATTTTCTGTCCACTGATCCTGCAAATTCAAAGCTTTGAAAGTATGTTGTTCAACGTGATCGCGTCATGCCGTATCAGCATTTTGACTGGCTGTTTCATGAAACTTGTTTCACAAAGCTGAGCCGCCTACAACTGTTGCGGGTGAGGTTCAAATGAGTTGCAAGACACTTTATGTTATGCAACTCATGTGCAATTTAGTTTCACATAAGTTTCAAGCAACTAAAGTTGCATGAAAGTTACACAGTGCAAAGCCAACCTAACTTTAAGTAACGTCAAAACACTAACAGCGTGCCGCTTTATCACTTCAAATCATAAATCATTTGTAGATGAATAAATATGAAAATCTTAGCAAGATGTCAAACAGACAGGCCAAATATTACAAAGTCTGAGAAAAGTTCCTGCTTTTCCCAGTTTCAAAGATAAAAAGCTTTGGACTAAATCCCTCAATATTCATGAACAGCCTCATGTGTATTATTAAGGTACTACATGGAAAACAATACAAAATGATTGAGTTCAGTTGTGAGTGAGTAAAACCAGTCTGTAAACTGTGAATAAAGGGTTAAAAAAAAACTACATTTAATCGTCAACTTACACTTGTAAAGAAAGTTTGATATCATACTTGAAAATTTTGGAGACAATTTGAATAAAAACTTATTTACCTCATTACACTTCTTATAATTAAACTATTTACATAAAACCCGTTTTAAAAATGTTAATGCCAGATGTTAGTCAGACACAAAACATTACACTGTGGATAAACAAAGTCTAATAACTCATAAAAAAAAAACAAATAAAAAATTCCAGTCATACAAGAACTAAGGCAGTGGGCTGAAGTGCATTTGGATAAAATACAAGTGAGGAAAGCTTTTCTCACAGGGCCTGGGCTTCAGTCTTAATGTTTTAGGTGTTGAAGAACAAGTGAACAATGCCCTGAACAGAAAAGTCACAGGCTGGGATGTAGTAAAAGGCAGAATAACAGTTTTCCAATGAGTGAAGATCCACCGGTGCAAAAGTCGACAGGAAAGAAGTGGCCCCATATGACTTGCAATAAGAAGTGGTATGTTCAGTCCCAGCGGCTGATGGCCAGCTGCCCTGAGGCTGTGTTGAGAGAGTGACAGGACACCGTCCATAGCTCTCCACAACCAACCCAGAACACATCAGCACTACTAAAAGGTTAGTTCTGTCCCTGGGTGAGCCCAAGGGGGGCCTGAGGGGTTGAGCCAAATCCACCTACAGCGTCCACTCCTCAGCCAACGTACCTTTCCACTGTTTTCCTTTTCGTTTCACAGCTGGAGTCAAAAGACGAGGAGAGGAGGCTGTTTAGGAGGATTTGAGATCCTACAGCAGTGCTAGCTGTAGGGCTGCAACATTTGCATATTTTCACTTTCAAATATTCTATTGAATATTTTCTCGAATGTTTGAATATTCTAGAAGAATATAAAATGCTCAAGTGATTTTTTGTGATTATTCTGGTCTGTTTTTTTTATTTAATTTGTACAAGCATTTCTGGGTATTTGTTTGATTTCCCTGCACGTTCCTTTTTTGTTTCTTTACAGCTTTGGTTGCATTTTTTTCTCTATTATACTTTATGGTGCAAACAATAATACTTTTAAAATACAAATAGTACCTACCTACTATTGTTTGTACAATATTCGTACTATACCGTTTCGTTTATTTTTAATTAAACTGAATTACCACAAGGTAAAAAATAAACGCCGCTCGTATTTTTTTCATGGCAAGTTGTGTGGAGATGCTAACTTAGGGATCCTGGCCAATCTGGCAACCCTAAACAGGTTTCTGAGCATGGGAGACGAGCGGTGCAGGACAGCACAGGAAACAGCGTCTTATTAATCATCTTAAAAATGAAAATAACTTTTTGGGCTGTTCAAAACTGCTTTCTACTAAAGGTAGACTCGGACATGTCGGCTTTATCGCCCGGTGCAGCCTGAATATATTTCTTCCTGCTCCGGAAATATAGGTAGCTGGTGCGCTCTCATTTATCCTTGGTAATAAATGCAGCTGAGAACATGCCAGCTAACAAACCAGAGCAGTAGAAAGCTCCTGGACTGCACCTGGATCAGTTCTATTTGGATTGCAACTGATACTGACGCCTGAGGTTAGAAATGTAAGAAATAGTCTTGCAACCTGGGCCAAATCTCCAATAAGTCTGGTATGCAGAGATGGAAACTGTGTGCTTGTTTAAAAAAAATGTCTGTGTCCCCATATAAGTACATCAAAGTGGTGAAAGTGGTTATTTGAATGGCTTTTCCATTTTTTTAAATATTCTAATTATCCAATTTAGCAAGTATCTGTTGCAGCCCTAGTTAGCTGTCAGTGTGGTGTTAGCCTAGAAGTGCAATAAGACAGCATTGGTCAGTGTGGTGAGGAGCAGCAGCAGTGCAGTATTGCAGAAACACCCCCACCGGTGTGTGATTGACAGGTCAGGTTGTCCAGTGAGACGGCTCACAGCAGGCTGGGTGGAGCCAGCGGAGTGAACGGCCTTCACCTGCAACATATCACAGCACACAGACTCTGTTACAGTGCAGGACATTTTACCCACTAGGTGGCCAAGAACGGGTGAGGCTGCAAAGTACCCCTGCTGCAAGAAGGTGACCCGGACTGGAGAAGCTAAATGGGATCCAGCAAGGATGCACACAGCAGCTATCCACATTATGGTGGCTCAGATACAAATGAAGGTGTGATTTAATGGATTTCAAGATGGAGGGAACTCCACCGATTTTTCAAAACTTCTAGATAATTAAAAAACTGAGATGTGAACAAAGTCATTCAGAGTGGTTTGGTGTAAAATGCTCCATTCTAAAGAAATTATTCACAGGGTGGTGGTGATAGGGAGCTTTTAGAGGTGGACATCGGGTTCCTAACAGAAAGTTATTACATGAAATGGTTATGAATATGCTGCCTGAAGTCTGAGTCATTGCTTTGAAAGGTTTTAGACCAGATTTGTTTAGTAAAACCAATTTTTTTAAATTCTTTTATGGCAGGCAAAATAGTTCCCAAACAAAACATTTTTCAGTAGGTTCACTGGTAGTTTTAGATAACAAATAAAATTGGTATACTTGGGTTGTAGATATCACAGCCCTGGTTACTATCACCACCACTGTGAAAAGTCAGTAAGGTTCTCTACAATGCACCATACCACATCAATCCACTCAGAAGGACTTTACATCCCAACAATAGAACAATACTGACAAAAACATATATGGAATTACCCTTTAAGGCTACTACAGGGAGATTCACTCGAAAGAGGCCCCGAATATTCTGTTGTAACTCCCGTTAGGATAAAGCAATCTGAACCAAAAAATCCGCTACCTACCTTAATGTATGTGTGATCGATTACATTACATGCGATGCTGGAAGCGATCTCCGTTTTCTGCCAGACACATGAAGGGGAACGGGGGTATGCACCCGGAAGTTGCAAACGGAGGTCAAACTTCGCGATGGCTGTCTGAGGCCTACCTCATTGCTCCAATGCAGGGGCATCCCGGCTTGTTCGAAGCTCCATGTACTGAGCAGCTCATTGCACATTGTTTGGTTCAGATTGCTTCAACCTAGCGAGAGTTATTACAGAATATTCGGGGCCTCTTTCAAGTGAATCTCCCTATATAACTCACCAATTTTGGGTTCCATAATTGGTCTTTATTTAAAACATTAACTGAATATCTGTCTAACATTTAATTTAACAGACAGAAGTGCAGCATATGGGGTCTGTATTTTTTAACAGATGTGTTTGTACTGACTGTGCATGAGGTCTGTGTATCTGAAAGGTTAAGAGGTGCAGATGTAATGAGGTGGGTGGTAAAGAATAAGAGGTCAAACTGCTTTGAGGTTGGGTGGTAAACTCACTCTGACTCCGGAGATGAGGTCTTCTGTAGTCTGGCCCGGGTTGCGGCTGAAAGGTTCAGCTCTCCACCTGGTCAAGCGCAGGAGATAAAGTGAGCAAACGCAACTCCTTCTGGTCAGCGCTAGAGACCTGATGCACTCAACTGAATCACTGTTTAACTTACCTCGAACAAAGTCCAAAAAATAGAGCCCCACCACTGCTATCAGAGCCACTGTGGAAAGAGCGAGAAGACACAAGCATGAGTAAGTTTACACGCACAGACTACAGACATAAACAAACAGTGGGCGTGTACATTTCTGACCTCTATACAATTCTGTTGCAGTTCATCAGGAAACAACTTAATGCATCAGGAAATTTCAAATTTTAATCATGATTTGGTCAAATAATTAAGATTCTGTAACTGTCGATTATTTTAATTTTCAAATATTCTATTTAGTCTTTGAGGATAAGGTGACTAAAATGTGTCTCATCTCAATTATTAAATGGTAAATGATTTGTCATAATTGTGTTGCTATGCATTATTATTATTATTAATGAAACTGCAATGCAATGGAATAACATCACAAAACAATTACAATCATATTAAGTACCATATAATGCTATTTGAGGGATCCTGCCCAATCTGGCAACCCAGGTCAGGTTTTCAATGTGGTGAGTGATACAGGGAGGAACAGCGTCTTTATAACCACATTGTCTTAAAACTGGGAGCAGCTTTTTTTTAATCAGCTCTTGTCTGTGAGCGAGGCGGGTGAGCATGTTTTATATTCGAGTTTTTAAAGCCACTGAAAAGCAGTTTTATACCCGGGCTTATGCGCTTTCTGCTTCGGATGGCTAGCTTGCACACAGTCTTTTACTCTCAGTAATAAATGCATTTAAGAGCAGGCAAGCAGTAGGAAAATCATTTTCAGGCGATTAGACCCAGCATTATCACACGAGGCTGAAGTTAACTTCTTATTTGACAGTTTCTTATTTTAATTGTCAGTTCCACCTTAAAAGGTCTGGGTGCCAGAATGCAACCGCTGCACGATTTGAGGTGGAACAGAAAATTTCAAATCAGAACCTGGAGAACAGGAGGCCAACGCTTCAGCCTCATCATTTTTACTCTAAAACAGGTAGTTTATTAGAGAGTCTCAACAATGTGAACTGAGATATCATCATGGATTTGATAGGAAAGGAACATTTGACCAAAAACCGCTGTTTATGTGATAAGCAGGTAGATTATCTAAGTTCTGCTGCTACTGTGCGGTATTGATGACCCCTTGTTTGCTGTCAGACTGATCAAACTGATGCATTGAAGGGCATGCTTTCTTAAAACTGGTAAAAGTTCCAGTAATTCAAATTGTTTTCTAATATTTTACGTATCAAAGTTATCAAATTTTATTGAATGCTCATTTCAGCCCAAAATGATTTTCATTTTTATGTTTGAAAATAGTTCAAATTGGGCCAAAAAATGAGATCATACTAGGGGTGCATGAAAATTGTTTAAATAACCATTAGCAGCATTTTACTGCACTTCTAGTCTTTCAGAATAAAATGTGTATTTCTCTGTAATGCTAATCCAAAGAGACGTAGTTCCAATTTGTACATTGTATAAATATTTATGTACAATAACGTACATGTGTAATACTGGATATCGGCATCAGCCCACAATCACCATATCAGTGAATTCCTAATGCATTCAAAATAAATGCAGTTTATCCTTCCAGACTCCATCACAACGTACCATTGCATTTTTACAAATCACTCACCGCAAATGCAAGCGCAGAAGAAGACCTCGAGGAGGAGGTAACCCTTGCTGTCAAGAATGGCTCCTGCTGCCATGGAAATGAGCGCCAGCCCCAGGTTCTGGATGGACTGCATACTGACAAGGGAAGCAGACAGAGACACGGAGAATTGAAACAATGGGGAGAATCTCCTTTTCACAGGCAGAACTGCATTACAGGAGCATTTAAGCCTAAAACTAGCATATATATGTTACCTGTAATACCAGGTAAGGAGTAGAAAATTACAAAAGAATCTCATAAACTCGTCAACTTCTAGCTGCTGTTTTAAACAAACAGAGACACATATTTGGTAGATATTTGCAACATTTTGTCAGAAACTAGACAGTGTACTTGCCAACACATGACCAAGAGTGGCCTCGAACACAACCACAAAACACAAATTTGAGGCGACATTAGCACCTTGACGCCTCCTAATGTGCACGGTCAGCCTCAACAGCTGAGTCTTCTATCAATGTTCTCACTACAATGCCCAGCATGGACGCACTGTCCGATTGCAGCGGCAAAATGAAATCACTGAATCAATCACTTCTGTCTCTGTTGTTGGCATGGCGACAACCAAGATGGGTAAACGCTAAAACGATTAGCTTTGCCCCTGCTTCAGACGGTGCCACAATCTCCCCTCCAAAAAGCAGCTGACATTGAGTTGTGTGTGCTCAAAGTTTCAGCTCCTGAATGAGGCGAAACTCTCCGTTCTCATTTCACTTTTCCACACTGGAAAGCGGCCTGGGCAACACCCTAAATATCACGTATAAGACATTCGGGACGTTTGTACATTTTCCCAAAGATGGTATTGTAAAAACAAACTGTGTACAGTTTTGGTGTAAAACAGACTTTTAGAATAAAATTTCCATGTTATTTATCTGCACTGCTTTCACTGTGTAGCAGCCCAACAGACCAAAACACTTTCCAGATACCATTAGTGCAGCTATCAAACAGCGCAGGTAAAAACATGAAGAACTCAGGAAAGCACTGTAAGAGGACATAGCAAAAGGAGTGCTTACAATCCATAGGCTGTACCCAGCTGGTGTTCCGGCACTACGAAGGCCACCATTGGCCAGAGAGCACAGGCCAGCAGCGAGTAGGACAATCCCATGATAACCTGTAGGGAGAGATGAGGAAATAAATAAATAAAGAAACTTGGAGGGGAATTCCACCAATGTTAAAGAGGCAAACAGTCATTCAGAATGCTCACCAAGTCAGAATGACTCATGGAGGTGGTGATAGGAACCGGACATCTGAAAAGTTTAATGCCTCTTAAACCTCCCTCACAGGAAGTTACATGAAATGGCTATGAATATGCTGCCTGATGCACTGTTTTAGGATCGTTTTTGGGCAAAATGTGCTTTTAAAAATCCCTCTTCTCAGATTTATATTTTACCATCATCAACATTAACATTTAAACTCAGCAGATATGTGCAGACTCATTAGTGGTTTTGGATATATATAAAAAAAAAGGCTACATTTGTGCTACAGACATTGCAACCCTCATCACCATCACTGTAAGGAGTCAGCAAGTTTCTCTATGATAAACACATCAAACACATGACTTTCCCCTTTAAATAAAACCAAAGTACTTATACATATAAAGACAAAAAGATATTTAATCAAGGCTCACAATTACCTCAAAAAGGGTGCAAAGTACAAAATAATGCAACAAATATTGTCCAATATTGAAAATGCTCCAACTGCATTACTGAAATGGTTACAGATAAACTAGCGGAGTTACCATGGCAAACCAGGGGTTCCAGAAAGTGAAAGCCAGCATCATGTGAGCGAGCAGCGTGGTGATGATGGCACACATAACCCAAATTATGTTTTTGCCTGTTTTATCCACCATTAAACCCAACACAGGAGAGGCCGGAGCAGAGATGATGTAAACAATGCTGAAAAACAAGAGGTAAGAAAAAAGTCAATCAAAATGGCTTATAATATCAGGTTATACATCTTATTTGTACAGGTATTACCAGTCAAGCCATAACACTTTATTTATTTCCATTCAGACAACACTGGTACTCTCCCTGCTTACCTGTTGATTAATCTGGCCTGAACTGGACTGAAGTTAAACTTTTCGATGAAGAAGACTCTGTAAAGGAAAGAATTTAGATACATGAGCTGGATTTTAGGATATCAGTGTTCCACCCCTAAAATTGATGCTCGCAGAGTTTTATATATCACAGTTCGACAAAATAATACAAACACCAGATCATGGAAAACTAAATTTTGTTCTTCTGAAATAAAAAAAAAAACACTGCTAAAATTTCACTGTTTCATATATCGCTGCTGTAAGAACAAAACCTTGTATCTCCAAAACGGTAACTTTACAGGAGAAGGAAAAAACCTACTTTACTTTTAATGTAAGTCAATGGAACCGGAATTTTTTTCCAAGTCATTTTGGCCTGTTTCTTTTGGCCCATTCATCATGAAATTTACAGACAATGTAAAGAGCAACAGGCATTTTCAGAACATGTCAAAAACCAAAAACAGAGATACGTGGTTTGTTCCAACAGCAGCCACTTAAAAGATGCCACTGTCATAGGATGCCACATTTACCACAAGCCAGTTTGGGAAATTTCTGTCCTGCTAGATCTGCCCCAGTCAGCTGTAAGTGTACTGTGAAATGGAAGCACCTAGAAGCAACATCAGCAAAGCAGCAGACCAAAAAGCCAAAAAGCGGGGCTGCAGAATGCTGAAACGCATGTCTATCCTCCGTTAGAACTCACTACAGAATTCTAAACTGTCTCTGGAAGCAATATCAGCAAAAAAAAAAACTGAATCAGGAGTGTGTTCCTGGATGTTCAACAAGCTCAGATGGATGCGATGGGTGTGTCCACATACTTTTGGCCATATAGTGTGTGTTTATTTTTTTTATATATTTATTGCTTCACAGCAAGAAGGGCCTGGGTTCGATTCCCCAGCTGGGCGACCAGGGTCCTTTCTGTGTGGAGTCTGCATGTTCTCCACGTGTCTGCGTGGGTTTCCCTCCGGGTACTCCGGTTTCCTCCCACAGTCCAAAAACATGCAGTCAGGCTAACTGGACATGCTAAATTGCCCCTAGGTGTGAATGTGTGTGTGAACGTATATGTCTGTCTCTCTGCCCTGCAATGGACTGGTGGCATGTCCAGGGTGTATCCTGCCTTCCACCCAATGACTGCTGGGATAGGCTCCAGCTCCCCCCACGACCCAGAAGGATAAGCGGCTTAGAACGTGTGTGTGTGTGTGTGTGTGTGTGTGTATAATACACACTCATATGTCAGTCCATCAAGCAGAGCTTACTGTTACATTTGCATGTATCAATAAGACTGCTGGATGAATTTGGTAGAAATATGTTGCTTAGAAGTTGTACACATAAAGACAATGCTTTTTTTTGTTTTAAATTTTTTTGGAAATATGTGCCTCAACTCCAGTCTTAGATTAGTCCTGCACTACACAGTTGGGAGTTTTTACGCAAACGCTGTGTTTTTTTTTTTCAAACCAATCATCAGCTCCCAGTTTGGTCCACATTTTTACCAGCTCCAAACAGTTCTTCAGAAAAGAATTACGTCAGACTCATGACATGATCTTAAAGCGCAGGACTGTTCATACCTTCATGCTACTGAGTGTGTGCAGATTCTGTTCTTACCTAAGAGCAAATCCCAAATAAGAGAACAGAATGTCAAATCTTCATAAAAACGGTCTAAACGGGGTTTGGAAGAAATTTCTTCTTAATAACGGTTGGTGAGTGAGGCCCATTGAATACAGATGTACAGACTTCAAATGAACATTCAAGTCATCGTCATCTGAAGGATGACTTGTCTGTGGTTTACAGAATGCTTTAAATAGCCTAAATAAAAATGAGACAAAGGCATGTGGAACAGAGCTGTGCTCATCCCTGGAACCCATCAATGTTTGCAGTCCTGTGTCTGTTGCTCTGAACAAGGTGAGCATTTCCTACCAACAGGTAAATATTTGCCTCCAGCTTTGTGCTGAGTGCAAAAAAGTGGGCTGGAATCAAACAACTGTCTGCAGCAAAGGCCAACAGGCACCTGAGAAAAACACATCTTTAGTAGTTGACTTCGCCATCAGGAGGCAGCTTTCCAGCTTGGTTGACTTAAGTCGATCGTTTTTTTAAGCAGCTGCTGTAAATAGTCACGGTGCTCCCCAGAGGCATGGAAACAAAACCCACTGCAAGCCTTTCAATTCACTTTTTAAGCTTCTTCATGGCTAACACTCAGTTTTCTGTGTCAGTGACCCACATTTACATACACTACATAACCTACATATAGTGCATATTCCAAAGCCTGAATGAACGACAGTCTTCCTGCAGCCTGTCTCACACAGGAGGGTTTATGGTTTACCCAGCTAACTTTAAGCTCAGCTCTCTCCAGTGGTGGACAGTAACGAAGTAAATGTAATTCTACTTAAGTAGTTTTTTCATGTATCTGTACTTTACTGTAGTATTTCCATTTTTGGTGACTTTTTACCTTTCACTCCACTACATTTCAAAGTCACATATCTTACCTTTTACTCCTCTACATTATGCAAAATCTGTTGTTCCTTTTGGTTTATGTGTGTATAAAAATGTAACAGGTCAAAATAAAAGAAGCGTGAAGCAAAAACACCAATCAGGGCACAGTGCGCACTTTGTTTTGAGTTGGTTTTGACCTGTTGGTCATGCCGACCCAGTGCAAGCATACGGTTCAACGTCAGTGCAGCAGCGTAAAATTTTGGGAGTGTCTGTTTCAACATAAATGATGAACTAACCTAACTTTGTGTAAATAGACCACAATATAGAAACATATTCTTTTTCTGAATTTATACAAACACTTTCAGTTTAGAGTAAATTTGTTTTGGCTAGTTTATGTTTATGAACAGAGACCTACAGATGAAATACAGTAAAGGAAAACTCATTTGTGAACCTGAGTTTAAAGCAAGTTTTTATTAAACTTAAACTCATAATTAAGTTGCAAATAAATCTTAAACCGAAACTTTGCGTGTTCGCAAAAAGTTATTTCAGAGCTGCTCGGTTCTACCTAATGGAAATTGTTTACCTTCAGTGTTTTGTGCTTATGATAATTTTAATAGACATCAGCGTCAGACTAATTAATGACATTCTATTAAAAGACTGGTTTACCAAGCGTGACACTGCAGTATTTTCACCTGAAATGAGTTAATGAATCAGAGTCTTGTTACAAAAATGATAATAGGTCATTAGAGTCATAATTAATCTTTTAGTACTTTCACTTTCGATACTTAAGTACATTTGAAGGTGAATACTTTTGTACTTTTACTCAAGTGGAGGTCTAAAGGGAGGAACTTCTACTTTTACTGGAGTAATATTTTACCTTGGGTATCTCTACTTTAACCCAAGTACATGGTTTGTGTACTTCGTCCACCACTGGCTGTCTCATGACGGTTCTCTCTTCATAACGTTCGCAGCACCAATCATGTGAAGAATATTGATTGCTTTTTAGCAAAAGAAAGTAAATCATACTACACTGAATTTAAGAATGTAAAGCAATTAAACTTTTAACTGTCGCTCCATTTTTGCCTGAAGCAGCATACCCAAAGTTAAAGGAGTGCTGTTCCCACATACTTTGAGCTACAGTCATGATCCCCCCCAAATAAGCCAATCATAACTGCTGTGAATAACGGATCACAAAACGGCTCCATAAAACAGGAACCAAACTGAATCCTGAGATTTCAAGCCTTCAAAATTGTACACTGCATCACTGTTTTCCTGGACAATCTGATGTGTAAAACTGTTGTATAAAAAACAGAAGTGAATGCTTTAACAGAAGGGTGCCGGCACCGGTACACAGTGATCTACTACAGTTTAATATTCAAATACAAACTAACAGAGCTGCGTTTTACAGTTACAGATGCTTTACTTTTTGCATATATTATACACTAATCAGGCATAACATTACGACCACCTCCTTGTTTCTATACTCATTGTCCATTTTATCAGCTCCACTTACTATATAGGTGCACTTTGTAGTTCTACAATTACAGACTGTAGTCCATCTGTTTCCCTGCATACTTTGTTAGCCCCCTTTTACCCTGTTCTTCAGTGCTCAGGACCCCCATGGACCCTCACAGAGCAGGTACTATTTGGGTGGTGGATCATTCTCAGCACTGCAGTAACACTGACGTGGTGGTGGTGTGTTAGTGTGTGTTGTGCTGGTCTGAGTGGATCAGACACAGCAGTGCTGCTGAAGTTTTTAAACACCTCAGTGTCACTGCTGGACTGAGAATAGTCCACCCACCAAAAATACCCAGCCAACAGCGTCCTGCGGGCAGTGTCCTGTGACCACTGATGAAGGACTAGAGGATGACCAACACAAACTGTGCAGCAGCAGATGAGCTATCGTCTCTAACTTTACATCTACAAGGTGGACTGACAAGGTAGGAGTGTCTAATAGAGTGGACAGTGAGTGGACACTGTTTGAAAACTGCCAAAAAACTGTATTCATGCATATTATTATACTTTGGCCATTTGTCATAATTGCTATGCATTCATTTGTATGCACACAAGGAATAATGATAGGCTGAGTATCTAAACTTGGGTTAACAAAGAAAGCTGGTAAGTGTCTTTGTAGAAGACTGTAGAAGAAACTTGTTAGGTTTTGTGAAGCTGAAAGTGCAGGAACTCTGTCTCTGTTAAACTTGCTTCATTAGACAGGCCCCTGGTCCTGTTTATTTGTTTGTTTGTTTATAGTCTTTGTCTCACTGGTTTTAGCCAGGGGTTCATCTCACAAAGCAGGATGATTTGCTATAGATTGAACCAACATCAGGCTTAGATCAGTCCAACCCTGATTGAGCTCATTATTCTGACGGAAGCAAAGCCTTCCGGTTCTTTTTTGGGTCACTTTTTTTGCCACCAGTCACATGAAAAATGATGCTTTTCAGTTGAGTAAACAAATCATGCTACACAAATATCAAGAATATAAAGCAATATTTATTCCAATGAGCACAAACATGGTGGCACTGGAGACAGCATCCATTTATATTGTTATAAATGCTTTCTACATATTTCTGCAGCATGTTGATTCCTCCTCTAAAAAATAAGCTGCTCTACTCTTCCCTGTGTTGAACGTTCGTCATAAACCTCACTGTCCACATGCACGAAGATTAATCACAGAGTATCTAAATCTGGGTTAGCAGAGAAGGTCAGTAGCCTAAAGAGAGTTCACCATGGCTAGGTTTGTTTTGTTTGCAAATTGCCCAAAATGCCGCCACAGGCCTTCTTACAGGCACAAGAAAGAGAGATCATTTCACCCATCATGGCTTCTCTACCCGTCTTGACTTTCCATCAAGCACAGAATTAGTTTTAAGACTTTACCCTTTTTGTCTAAGGCACTATGTGGTCTGGCCCCATAGTAAACCTGTGATATGATTAGTCCTCACTCGTCTGGCAGGTCCCGCCGTTCCACTGCTCACTGTCTCACGCTCTCAATTAAATCTCAAGGAAGATTGTTTATTAACGAAATGTGAAATTTTATGCACCTAGTTATTCATCTAAATAAATGTTTATTTTAGTTTTACGTATTACTTCATGTTTTCTTTTATTGTTTTTGCATTTTAATTGGGCACTTTTTGCTGCAAAACATTCTTTGTGCGGCACTGTCAGTATGTGTTTCTGCTTCTGTTTGCTTAATCTGCTGTACAGCACTTTGGTCAGCTTAGGCTATTTTTAAATTAACTTAACTGTCTAAGTTGAACACGTTTTGTGTTACAAGCCATCCAGACCCCTTTTCAGCTGGACACATCCACTTGCACTAATGAATTCATGCAGTACTGCCTACATTTATTTTCCATTTATGTAAAACATGTTTAGGCAAACTGTGCTGTTTAAATAAGGGAAATTTGAGACTGTGGCTGCTAAGCATTTTAATACTGCCCCCTATGGGAGTAAGTAAAATGTGTCTGTTATGGACAGCAGACCTTTTTTTTGTAAACTGCCAGTTACAATAATTTTAAATGCTACTTTGCATTTTAGTGGATTCAGCTTTTAATCAATGCAACATTTAGTTAGAAGTCAAACTAAAGTCAAAATCTCCTCCTCAAAAGGTGTAAAATGCAAAATTTATAATCTGTCATAGTTCTTGAATACGTAGATGACATTAAGGGCTGTCAGAAGCCATAATATACGTTGCTGAGTAATAAGCATACTCAGTTCTTGACCATTAATCTTGGTAAAAATAAGGTAACACATTCTCTACAGAGAACACACTGAAATATGAGATTTTTCTGCAGAATTTAGTGCACAATTTCTATTTATTAGTCATATTTCATGTTTACCAAATATGATAAATTCAGCAAATCAACTGTAACTGTGCATTAAAATGTACAGAAATGTGTTCTATGTAGAGGATTTGTTCACTTATCTATACTTAGAAGATCAACAAATGTAATTTGACCAGAGGTGCCCAAACGTTTGCGTCCAACTTTACATATATATACACTATGTGGCAATGACTGCACATAAAGAGGTGTATTTATCAGTTCATATCAGCCTCTGCCACAGGAGAATATAATATTTATGCATTATGCAAATGATGATAATTATGATGGACCAGATGGAAAATAATAGTATATTATGATACTTAACGCCTTTTTTCACAATAAGCGATACACATCACGATATTTGGACACAGACAAAATGGCAGATAAGTGTCACATTTAAAAACTCATATCAACACTTAGAATATAATGATTATTATTTCTTATTATTTTACATACTGTGCTGTAGAGGTCTGCGTGGGATTGTTTTTTTCCTGCTCCCGCAGAAAATCGGAATCATTTGTCCCCTCTCCCGCCCGCAACTGAAATATTTTGTCCCGCCCCCACCCGTGCAGTTCAGTCGAGGCGAACGGACTGGGCAGCTGTGGCCGCCGGACTATAGGCTCTGTTGTCTCTGTAAGCTACGATAATTTGCGTGTTGTTTACGTGATCAGCTGCTTCACAGCTCTTTAGAATGACTTCATTCATTTTAACTGTTTTACAGTTATCATTTTATACTGTGTATATATATCATTTAGTGATCGTTGTACTTTATTTAGTCTATTCATTAATTTGCATAATTTCTCTTCATGCGTGCTTCGGCCAGCTCCCACCTGCACTGGGCTGGGTTCCTGTACGCTCCTGTGTGCAACACTAAAAATTAGACCCGCACCACAAGATAATGTGGTGGGTCCCGCCTAACCATGCTGTCTTTGTAATAAAACATGCAGTTGGTCAGTGTTATACACTCACATTATCCACAATATGCTCAGAATCATGCATAGTATGCATAGTAACACAATAACAAAATTCATAACAATAACAATACTGTCATCTCTAATGGTATTGCTAACTGATCCCAACTAAATGCTGCCAATTCATAGAAAATGTTCATTTTCAATATTTTTCTTTTTTTAAAAAAGCAATCAAGTTCAATGAATCTTGGCCGCCCTAAGCAACACTTGACCTCAAAAATATTTACTTTTTTTAATACTAAGTATGAAAAAGTGGGCATGACCGTGTACTTACTGTCCCAGGCCGATAAAGGGGAAGATGGCGACGTAATATCCCACGCAGATGATGAATATTAGCCACAGCTGCAAAGGGAAGTCTTTCACATCCTTCAGCTTGATCACTTCTCCTGCACCGGCAAACACACACATGTACAAACACAAATCATAAAAACAGACAACTGCTTCCCTCTGCTCACCGTGGCATTATCTGCTCAGTTAAGCCGTTTTTCTGACAGTGTCATAAAACAGGACACATGAAAAGCTGTGAAGGCTGCAGCAAGGGCTGTAATCATGCCCCTAACCCTCGGTGACAAACCGAACGTAATACAGTCACAAAAAAGATGCTGAGAGCAGCAGAAGAGTTACTTATCAATCTGTTTTAAGTGGAGCGTGCAAAGACAGGCAATCTAACACATGAACAGCTTTGTACAGTGGAGGCCCAAGCAGCCATAAACTCATACACACAGTTAACTGACCGGTCTTCCCCTGCTCCTTGTTGAGTATCCTCTCTGCCCGCTTGTCCAGGAAGGCCAACACCACAGCGCAGAGCAGCGATAAGACACACGTCGTGGCAGCTGAAACACAAGTCCACACGGGTCAGTTCTCCTAAGATATCACACACTTTCTACACTACAGCCTAAGCCAAATTCTCTATGTCCAAAAGTATCCAGACACTCCTGCTAACGAGTGAATCCAGCTACTTTAAGGTCACCCATTGCTGACAAAGCTGAGTCATAATCATGAACATGACAAAGTCTGGGGCCCAATTAAAAAAAACTCAATACTGGTTGAACAATTTAAAAACATTTAAATGATTTAGTTCATTTTAATCTTCAGCAGTGTCCAATTTATATCAAATTTATGATATATTTGAGGATAAATGTATACTTATAATATTTTCCCCAACTTTTATCATAATCTGTACAGGGTTGCAGGTCTAAGCTAATTATTAAAAACATTCAGATATATATATATATATATGTATAGACAGATATATAGATATAAAATTCGCAAATCTCATTACTGTAACACACTGTCAACCACTGAGGTTAAGAGAGATTCAACAGTTATAAGTAATACAAAATATTTTTTTTCTTATTAAAATATCTTAATAAAAAAATTTCTTATGAGAAACATATGAGGACACATTACAATAATGAGAATTAGCTTTTAGCTAGTGCCAAAAAATATTTAAAAAGAAAAATCAATAATCTTTTTGGTGTACCTTATAGAGCTCTAATTGATTTACTACATAACATGAATATATTTTAACCTGCATGATGACTGACACTTAAATATGTTTGGACATGGTTTAAAGCAGTTTTCTGACAAGGAACAGGACGCTCTAGCGCAGCTGCACAAAAGCCTGAGGTCACCATGCCCAAAGTCAACTGTGGGCTGGAGGGGTATAAAGCCCCCCAGCATTGGGCTGTGGAGCAGTGGAACTGTGATCTCTGGAGTGATGGAGCTCCATCCAATACCTTTGGGAGGGGTTTGAGTGACCCAGAACTGATCATCCAACACCAGTACCTGACCTCACTAACGCTCAAACGAATCCTCACAGCAATGTTTTTGTGTAAAGCCTAGAGAGATAATTCATCTTTCCTGAGGAATGCTATCAACGTGGAACAGACACAGTGTTCAGCAACCCAAAATAAAAAGCAGAAAAATAGAATTTTTTAGCTAAATTTGAATAAATATCATATAAAAAACTGAACGACAGTCTGCCAGTAACAACCTGATGTCTCATCCAAGCCAGACAGAGTTTAAAAATAGGGGAAACACCAATATAACTTTATTCAACATAATAAGGAACAAGCAACAGCTGGTCATAAGATGACATAATGAGCCGTCAATCATCTCCTTTTTACTTTGCAGTTTCAGTTTTACAGTATGATAGTATACATTTTCGTGTACAGGTTCACTACATACTCTAGATCTCTATTTAGATGAATCGTGCGACTGGTCAGCGCTCCAGAAATACTCAGGACACCTGTGATGTGCTCAGTAAAGTGTATTGTGATGTAATTTAGCACAATAATAATCAACCTTCGGGATGAGTTGGAGTGATCCAGAACTGACCGTCCAACATCAGTACCTGACATCACTAATGCTCAATCAAATCCTCACAGCAAAGTTCTAGTGTAAAGCCCAGACAGATAATTCCGTCTTTCCTGAGGAACGATATTAACATAGAACAGACACAATGAGTGTGTTTACATGCACTTAATAATCCGATAACTGCAGAAAGTCAGATGTCAGTAATCCGATCAACACGTTTACATGCGATTGAGTAATCAGATAATGGGGAAACTCCAGGTCTACATGAGTCAGACAGTAATCAGATTTCTGCTTTGCAACCAGCCAATAAACTCACAGAAGACGACGTGACGTAAAACTCAAACTTTATGCTGCAGGTTTTTTTTTTTTAAACACCATGTGACTTTACTTGAATATATGAACACACATCATCAAGAAGATGAAGAATATTTAAATCCTTCATTTTATGTTTGGTTTCAGCGCCGCTCCAAAACTGTTTTGTTGCCATCTCGTGCCAACGCTGCAGGTACCACCATCTGTTCCATCAATAATGAGTGTGTTTACATTCACGTTACATAATATTAATTTCTGCAGTTATCCGATTATTCAAGTGGTCATGTAAACACCATACTCTGATCTAGAAATCTGATTAAGAAATCCAATAGAGAGAGCTGGAGTTTAGCTCAGGAATCAGATTTCTCAGTGCATGTAAACTCTTACTCTGATTTCTTTCGGATTTCTTAGTCTGCAAACGCATGAGATTCAGCAAAATGTTTCTGGAGTGATGAATGTTTTAAAAAAAAGCCACGGCAAAGTTTTAGTTTTACATTACATTTTACGTTGCGTCTTCTTCTGTGAGCTTATTGGCTGGTCACAAAGCAGAAATCTGATTACTGTCTGACTCATGTAGACACGTTTCACGTTATCTGATTACTCAAGTGCATGTAAACGTGTTGATCGGATTACTGACAAAATCTGATTTTCTGCAGTTATTGGATTACTGAGTGCATGTAAACGCTCTTAATGTTCAGTAAACCAGCAGCGCTGAATCAAAAAAGAACTAACACGATCTGTACAGTTCATACAAGACAAATACAATATAATGGTCATCTGCAGGCCAACACGTTGTATAGAGGCAAAACATTTTAAAACCTGCAGCACAGCTAACTGCTAAATGGAGAAGAGAAAACAATGATGCAGCGAAAACGAAATGGTGGAGCTTGCTATTTGGATAAGACCAAAGTAACGTGAGATGAGCAGAAGTGAAAGAGGAAACTCCATGAAGCGATAACAGCACTTCTGCACAAAAAACCCCATGAGGATTTCACTTAGTCAGTGCAGTAATGAAACATGGCTTCAGGTTTCAAAAACCATGTCTCATTGGCCGGGATACAGGAGTGTAACTCAAGACCCCAGTTTCAGAGACCGAGTGAAGTGATGCCAAATGTGGCCAAATGTTTCGCAAATGATACTAACTCTCTAACAAGAGCACACTGTATACATCTGACTGACCAAAGCAAAGAGTTTATCACGCAATAAGCAGCAGGGGAGCAAAAATGCAAGGCTGGTCCACTGAAATGCATCAATTTTGAAATGTTATAAGCAATCATAATTGATTATTACAATATTCAATCAAAATCCTCTTAAAAGGCTGTTTTACATGTAAAAATCCCAAAGTAAAATTGCTGTATTGTTTATATCCCAGCACTGTATAAGCACACACACATACACACACACACACACACACCTCCTTGTTTCTACGCTCATTGTCCATTTTATCAGCTCCACTTTGTAGTTCTACAATTACAGACTGTAGTCCATCTGTTTCTCTGCATACTTTGTTAGCCCCCTTTTACCTTGTTCTTCAGTGGTCAGGACCCCCATGGACCCTCACAGAGCAGGTACTATTTGGGTGGTGGATCATTCTCAGCACTGCAGTAACACTGACGTGGTGGTGGTGTATTAGTGTGTGTTGCGCTGGTCTTAGTGGATCAGACACAGCAGTGCTGCTGGAGTTTTAAACACCTCAGTGTTACTGCTGGACTGAGAATAGTCCACCCACCAAAAATATCCAGCCAACAGCGTCCTGTGGGCAGCATCCTGTGACCACTGATGAAGGACTAGAGGATGACCAACACAAATTGTGCAGCAGCAGATGAGCTATCGTCTCTGACTTTACATCTACAGGGTGGACTGACAAGGTAGGAGTGTCTAATAGAGTGGACAGTGAATGGACACAGTGTTTAAAAACTCCAGCAGCACTGCTGTGTCTGATCCACTCGTACCAGCACAACACACACTAAACACCACATTAGTGTTACTGCAGTGCTGTTGGAGTTTTTAAACACCTCAGTGTCACTGCTGGACTGAGAATAGTCCACCAACCAAAAATATCCAGCCAACAGCGTCCTGTGGGCAGCATCCTGTGACCACTGATGAAGGACTAGAGAATGTATGCAGAGAAACAGATGGACTACAGTCTGTAACTGTAGAACTACAAAGTGCACCTATATAGTAAGTGGAGCTGATAAAATGGACAATGAGCGTAGAAACAAGGAAACAATATATATATAGACCTCTACAGCCATGTTTTTTTAGAACAGCACAGGGATCCACTACTGCATGAATCACTTCACTTTACCAAAATGGTTCAGTGTCAAGGCTACGGGGAAGTTGATCCTTGACCGACTATGCAGGTTATATCAGGCACCGAACACTTACCAATCATGAGAGCAGATCCTAGAGTGAAGTAGCCCGCTTGGCCGAAGACAGCCTTCATGTGATCGTACACCGAGCCCATAATGTTCATGTTGACTGTACTGCCCTGGGAGACGGAGAGAAATCATCTGAAATCATTCTTAAACTGATAAAAGTGAAGGAAATTTACTGGGGATCATTTAACATGGTTTACTGTCAATCCTAACCAGCAGTGTTATGATTTAACAGTTTAGCAGTGTTAGTATTTTAAGGCAAAGTACCACATATAAGACTTTCAATAGGGAGCCAGGAGGAATTAATTTATTCCAAGTTTATACTCAATTTTAAATAATAAGACTGCTTTTCAAATGAGGCACATTACAGGACAACCAATCAAAACAGAGCTCATTTACATATATCAGTCTTAAAAGCACAGCAACAAAATCAGCCTGTTTAATTCTTAAAAATATATATATGATTTTGTTACATAAACCCAGAAATACTTTATAAAATGGACCTAAAAAGTGCTGCAATTTTCTTTCTAATCATTTCTGGTGATGTCTTACCACTCTAGCCATGCTGAGCTGCAGGCCAAACACCAGGTTGAGCTCCTTCCCTTTGAACCAGTTCACCGCGTATGTGTTCTGCGCCACAGCCAAAGACTCTCCTCCAATACTGCAGAGCCGGAGACGGAAAAGAAGGGCGTGCTGAGTGATTTAATCATGAGTGCTGGGTGAATTTGATCTAAATAAAAGGGAAACTTACCCAAAAACAAAGCGGCCAAACTCCATCAACCAGAAATGATCAACCAAAGCGCCTAATGCAAATATTACCTGCAAAAACAGATTTAGATTATATATATGTTTAATCAGGACACGGCTCAGAAATCTTTAAGGGAAATCTTTAGTTTTTTTGTGCCTGATTTAATTATGCAATGGCACATAACTAAGAACTTCTGTTATCTTTGTGAGAAAATCCATTCACACAACTATGTTTGTTGTGACATAAACATGAGATTGTGAAAACTAACAACTGTGGAAAGGAATTGTGGCCAGATTAAATAACTGTAATCAGCTAAAATAATTGCGATTAGGCGATTATGTCATTAATATAGGCCTAACCCTGTAATGGATGTTCTCATACCTGTCCAACACACACAAACAGTGCAAAGATCACCGTTCCCAACCTAGAAAGAGTGAGAGGGTCATATTACACCTACTGCTGAAAAACACTGACAAACTTACACAAAGTAGAGTAATTAACAAAGCTTTTAAAATGACTTCATAAATGCAAACTAGAGCTTCAGTAAAGTGGTTGATGCTAAATATTCCTCAGGCTTATGCTAAATTTTTTCACAATGAGTCCGTTTGTACACGACAATGTATTACCTAGTCTAGTGTAATGCAGTAAATAAAGCTACCACTATACTTATAAAATAAATGAATAAATTAAATTCTAGCAGCATTAACTCTTCAAGGCTGCTCTTCTGGAGTGTACTCACCTGATGCCAAAAACTCTGTCTAATAGAAAGCCTCCCAGGAAACAGAGGAATACATTAGGCCACGAGTACCAGGCATAGAGCTGCATGAACTTGGAAGTGTTTAATTGCATATCCTATGAGGAGAGAGAGAAAAGAAGGAATCAGACCTAAAAACCCATTTGAAAGTGTAAGGAAATTCTGCATAATGTTAATAACAAAAAAATCCTGCATATTCAACATTTTTGCACTTAGAAACATAAATACACAAATAATGTTATAAATGTAATAAATATTACATATGGCCACTTTAAACTGCTTTAGCTGGCATCAACTTAACACATCTGCACTAAGCTGAACTGTTATTCATTGTATTTCGTAGAGTGATCCCATTGGTGTATAAGATACCACTGAGGGCAATAACTGTCCCTTAAAAATATTTCCTACCTTGGTTAATAAGAGATCTGAAATATAGAATATGTTGACAAAAACTAATCAAGCAGCATCTGAGAACGAAGCTACTTCATATGTACACGCTTGCATATATCAGTGCAGGATGTACACATTAAAGTGACTGGCCCTACTGTCTCTCTTAATAATAGAGATGGAATTTACTTATGGTATCCAAAATTCCTGCATAATTAAAAAGTTAAGAGCTAAACAAAGTAATTCAGAGCGGTTTGATGTAAAATGCTTCATAGTATAGAAACTCACTGGCACAGATTTTTCACAGTGGTGGTGATAGGAACCAGACGTCCACCTCTAAAAGCTCCCTCGAAGAAGGTTATTATATAAAATGCCTATGAATGTGCTGCCTCGTGTAAGAGTCTTTTTTCCCCCCGATAGTGTGAGAAAGTTTTGGCCTAAAACTTAGTTTTAAAATCTGTTTATGGTGGGGAGGTACATGCAGAGCGTTGTGAGGCAAAATAAACAGATTTTTCAGATTTATCACTACCTCACCATCATCAACATCATCATTCCATATAAAACTCAGAAGACTCATGTAGGTTCACTGGTGGTTTTGGACTGGTGGTAAATATAATGTCTATATTAGTGTTGTAGTCATGGCGACCCCTGGTTCCTATCACCACCCTGTAAAGACATTTGAGTCTCTACAATCAACCATTTCACACCAAACCACTTTGAATGACTCTGTTTACATCCCAAGTACTGAATTACACAGAAATGTAGAAAAATTGGTGAATTAACCCTTTACTATAAAGAGTGCAATTTACTGATTCAGATCAACTTTAGAGAACAATTCAAAATATATAAAATAAAAATAGTACGCTTCATTTCTGGAATGTGCTTTTTTTCTGGTTAATGAAGCTCAAAAAACATGAATATTTAATTAAAACATTTTTAAAAAGCAGCAGATTAAATTCGCAGCCCATTCCGCCACAATAAAATATACCATTAATTAAAATATACCATGCCAAATCCTTCAGAATAAGAACCTTATCCACTTTATTCTAGACAGTGCACATATGCACTTTTAACTTATTGTAATACATATATTGAATAAATATACTTAAATTCATATTAGCTATTTAATTCTTTTGGCTGTACATACTGTTTTTTGTACTTCAGTACTTGATTGTAACTGGACTTACAGTTACCCGCATTACACATCCTTTATATTCCTCACAGTTTGGTTGTGTAGTGTGTATTTAATATATATTAATAGCATATATCTTTTTCTATATTTATTTTATTTTAACTCACTTTACGTTGACAACTGCACAAAAAGAAATTCCTTGTACATCTGGTACACTCTTAGAAAGATGGCTCTTCGAGGGTTCCTTAGTTAAGGCAATGGCTCTAAAAAGAACCCCATTTCATGCTTAAATGGTTCTTTGCATGGTGAAATTGTTCTTTAGATTGATAGAGAATGTGTTGTATATGGTTCCATATGGCACCAAAAAGGGTTCTGCTATTGTATACAAGCTTGACATTGTTACAATAGCAGAATCCTGTTTGGTGCTACACTGAAAAATATACAACACATTCCCTTGAAGAACCATCATTTTAAAACTGTGCTAAAGATTCTGATTCTGACTCTAATAAAAGTTCTCTGACCTGGTCCAGCAAATATCTACATACATACATACATACATACATACATACACACACACACACACACATATATATATATATATATATATATATATATATATATATATATATATATATATATATATATATATATAATTATATATATTTTAAAAAATAAATAAATAAACGGCAGCAGATTAAATTCGCAGCCCATTTCTACATAATAAAAGTCCTCTGACCTGGATGATTTGCTTCTGAAGAGCAGCCGGATTGTCGTAACAGAAGTAGCTGCCTGAAAATACAAAATGGACAAAAGAATAGTTCATTTTTACTGACTTTGAAGGCTTTAAAATACAACTTCCGACAACATCAACTGCAACAATGTAAGTTGTATAGCTAAAGTTGGCTTCCTGTTCGAATTTTCCCGTTCCACCTTAAATGCTGCAGCGGTGAAAATTCGAAAAACAAGCTGTATCTTCTATACGTACTTCAGGAAAAAAAACAGCCTGAAGTAGCTGTTGTGACATAATACTTCACATAAAAAGCCCGCTGAAGTGACGGGCTCTTGCTCACCGAAACCCAAAAAACACATGAAAAACAGCACAATGATTCTGTGGAGCAGGTGGTTCGGGTCAAGGATGGGCGACATGCGCCCCGAGTTTCCTCTGTCATGATGGTTTTCACTTAAGAGCCGCTCGTTTTCTTCTCTCTCTGCCATTTCTGTCGGTTCGGTAAAAAGTCTGCAGCTAAAATCTTTCACAAAGAGCAACAACAACACAGAGCGGTATGCTGAAAATCATGTGACCGCAGTTCTGCCTGTCATGTGACTGACTTGTCTTTCCAGAGCCGGTTTAAAGGTAGCCTGGCCGCTTCCTATTCCTGCCCAGCAATGTGTTCCGGGTTTGTTAAACACTAGTGGGCGCTGTCCAGCGAGTCTGAGATGAGGGGGTTAATGTAGAGCATTTGAGCGAATAGTAAATGCTTAAACATTTTTGAAGTTGAAGAATGCATTAATTTCCTGAACACAGAGCATCATTAAACTCTTTAAACACTGCTGTTTTGAGTGCTTTTGAACTCCAGTGCGAACAAATCAGCAAAAAAATCAGCTCTCAGTAGCAATAATGCCAACCACTCATAGCTGGAATGCTAGCTGATCAACACTCAGTAGCATTACTGCTAACCAGTCAGAGCATCTGTGTTTCATCACAGTGAAAGATTTGCTAGTCCAGTTTAACTGCATTTATAGCAGAATACAGTGTGAAACATTGAATAAAAATCACTATATTCGTCTTTTTTAAAATTATTTTTCAAATATGACACCTCTGGTTCTTTTTGTATGTTCCAATATATCAGATGTTAGAAAAGAAAATGTTGAGACATATCGTAATGGTATTGTATTTTTACCATATTGCTCACCTCTACAGGGACGTACAAGCTGCCTTAATATCTCGCACCCCAGAGCAGAGTCCACTCTCGATTCCTGGATGTCTGGAATTGAGGAATTGATTCTTTTTGGAACTGACTTGCAACATAAATACACTATGTCCAGAAAATTGTAGACACCTGGGCTACTATGGCAGCTGAGAAGGCCATTCTTGATGTCCTTCTAACTTATTTTATTTGAAAAAATGTTCCGTTAAAATATTTGTGACAAATGCGTCTTCTAATGTCTTCAGTTGCTGTGTACACCAAACTGCAGCAGCCGCATTTGTAGAGGATTTGATTCATTCAAATCCTGTGGAAGTCCAGAGAGGCCATGAGATAGTTATAATTCTCTGGATTGTGATCTTGTAATCACAATTTAATTCTTGTCTTATGATCACAAGATAATAAAATTTGCTATTTAATGAAAGTAGTTATCTTGACATCACAAGATAATTAACTCGTGATCTTAAAATAACTACATCTGTTATCTCAAGATCACAAGATAATTAAGTCATGATCTTAAAATAACAACATCTGTTATCTGGAGATCACAAGATAATTAAGTCTTAATCTTAAAATAACTACATCTGTTATCTCGAGATCACAAGATAATTGAGTCTTGATCTTAAAATAACAACATTTGTTATCTTGACATCACAAGATAACTAAGTCGTGATCTTAAAATAACAACATTTGTTATCTTGACATCACAAGATAAGTTGTGATCTTAAAATAACTACATCTGTTATCTCGAGGTCATGATCTCAAGATAACATTTGTTATCTTGACATCACAAGATAATTAAGTTGTAATCTTAAAATAACATCTGTTATCTCGAGATCACAAGATAATTAAGTCGTGATCTCCCGATAACAACTTAACTGTAATTTAAAAGGGGAGTTTTTCCCCTTTTAAATAATACAATTATAAAACTAGAGATTAATACACTATATTGCCAAAAGTATTCGCTCGTCTGCCTTCACACGCATATGAACTTGAGTGACATCCTATTCTTAATCCATAGGGTTTAATGTGATGTCCGCCCACCCTTTGCAGCTATAACAGCTTCAACTCTTCTGCGAAGGCTTTCCACAAGGTTTAGGAGTGTGTTTATGGGAATTTTTGACCATTCTTCCAGAAGCGCATTTGTGAGGTCAGACACTGATGTTGAACGAGAAGGCCTGGCTCGCAGTCTCCCCTCTAATTAATTCCAAAGGTGTTCTGTCGGGTTGAGGTCAGGACTCTGTGCAGGCCAGTCAAGTTCTTCCACACCAAACTCGCTCATCCATGTCTTTATGGACCTTGCTTTGTGCACTGGTGTGCAGTCATGTTGGAACAGGAAGGGGCTGTCCCCAAACTGTTCCCACAAAGTTGCAAGCAGGAAATTGTCCTTCGGTCTGCCGAAGCATTAAGAGTTCCTTTCACTGGAACTAAGGGGCCGAGCCCAACTCCTGAAAAACAACCCCACACCATAATCCCCCCTCCACCAAACTTTACACTTGGCACAGTACAGTCAGACAAGTACAGTTCTCCTGGCAACCGCCAAACCCAGACTCGTCCATCGGATTGGCAGACGGAGAAGCGTGATTCGTCACTCCAGAGAACATGTCTCCACTGCTCTAGAGTCCAGTGGCAGCGCTTTACACCACTGCATTCAACGCTTTGCATTGCGCTTGGTGATGTAAGGCTTGGATGCAGCTGCTCGGCCATGGAAACCCGTACCATGAAGCTCTCTACGCTGTACTTGAGCTAATCTGAAGGCCACATGAAGTTTGGAGGTCTGTAGCGATTGACTCTGCAGAAAGTTGGTGACCTCTGCGCACTATGCGCCTCAGCATCCGCTGACCCTGCTCTGTCATTTTACGTGGCCTACCACTTTGTGGCTGAGCTGCTGTCATTCCCAATCACTTCCACTTTGTTATAATACCACTGACAGTTGACTGTGGAATATTTAGTAGTGAGGAAATTTCACGACTGGACTTGTTGCACAGGTGGCATTCTATCACGGTACCACGCTGGAATTCACTGAGCTCCTGAGAGCAACCCATTCTTTCACTAATGTTTGTAGAAGCAGTCTGCATGCCTAGGTGCTTGGTTTTATACACCTGTGGCCATGTAAGTGATTGGAACACCTGAATTCAATGATTTGGATGGGTGAGTGAATACTTTTGGCAATATAGTGTATGTTGTTTGTCATTTTTTGCCATATCATAATTAATTTTTTCATGACCTTTTTCCAGCCTTTCTCTGCCCCTTAGAACTGAGCATGATTTGTTTTGTTACTGTGCCTTTAAGACTGATCTATGTAAATTACCCCTGTTGTGATTGGCTGTCCTGTGTTGTGCCTCATTCAAAAAGCAGTCAGGACTGAAAAATGTCGCAGTTCTTTATAGCTTCTGTTTGTATGGGTGGCGCTAAACTGCCATAGGCTGAACAGGTGCATATTTGAAAATGCTTTGGTTTCTGTGACATCACAAAAACGGTGAGTTTAAAAAGAGCTTTTTTGCATCTTAATGTTCATATATGGACCTTATGGACTGGGAAATTGTGAAACTTTAACAAAGTTTACATGCTACATCAAACTGCTTTATTTAAAGGTGTGGAAAAATGTTTTTTTTCCATGAGATGGTTCCCCAGTGGGTTACTAGTTTGGCATGTTTTTAGTGGTCATAGTGTCACAGGCCTTTTGTAAAAGCCTTGGTTGTTGTAGTAGCTCTAACTTCCTTGCAGTGGTTCGTGACTGGGGTCTTTAAGGAGGTATCTGTGAACGTGGCTGCCCATTGTCTCGTCTGTAAGCTGTTATGCATGGCTGATGTCACCTTCATGTTTTAAATTTGACAGTTTGACCTTAAATGCGCAAGTCCTGTCACTGTTCATCAATCACTGGTGGTTTAAGAGTAAACTCGCAGCCACGTTCGCTTTAAGGGGAACCTTCAATCAGGAATACATTTACATCGACACGGCTGATACGTTTCCTCACCTTTCTCCTCTCAGTTCCTCCTTCAGCCACTTTTCTCCTCATATAAGGGACTTCATAACCCAAAAATGCAAGCATCATTAATAATTAGGACTTTAAATTAATCAACAACAGACCAGGCTTTTTTATTAATAGCACAAGAATTCCACGTGCAAAGGCATCTACAAATAACCAATGAAAGCAAGTAAGGACAGTTAGCATTAAGCCACAGTCACACAACAAGTGTACAGCTCATGTCACCTTGTGAAATAGGTGTGACCAGAACACTGAAGATGAAAACAACCCTCAGTGCAGTTAACAAGCCAGCTAACTCACCAACTATCAACAGCAAAAACAATAGATGAGGTAAGCCAGTTTTGGGTGAATCTGGCCACTTCCTATTTCTCCTGTTAAATAAATAAAAAAAAACATGACTGGAAACGCTAGAGGGCGCCACTGAGTGAGTCCTAAAGAAATGTTGACAGATTGGTTAGCATTACTGCTACTGCGTGCTGATTGGTTAGCATTACTGCTACTGCGTGCTGAATGGTTAGCATTACTGCTACTGCGTGCTGATTGGTTAGCATTACTTCTACTGAGTGTTGATTGATTGGTTAGCATTACTGCTACTGCGTGCTGATTGGTTAGCATTACTGCTACTGCGTGCTGATTGGTTAGCATTGCTGCTACTGAGTGCTGATTGTTTAGCATTACTGCTACTGAGTGTTGACTGATTGGTTAGCATTACTGCCACTGAGTGCTGATTGGTTAGCATTACTGCTACTGAGTGCTGATTGGTTGGCATTGCTGCTGCTGCGTGTTGATTGATTCACACACTGCTACTCAACTCAACTTGGGACATTATTTTTAGTTGTAGAATAAAAAGTTAAGGGCTATATTTTGCATAATGTCCAGGCTAGTTTAAGCTGTTTAAGGTAGTTCAGCTGGTGGACCAAGTTAACTGATTGATCAGCATGAGCTATGCTTTTGATTGAGTTCAGTGATTTAGCTGGGCTACAAACATCTTAATTAGTTGACCAGCTCTAGGCATATTTTCATTTTTAATCCAGCTGTTCACCCAATTATCTTGGACAAGGACAAATCAAACTATTGATATAATTAATAATCTAACTAATGGTCAACGATGCAAATATGTGTGTCAGATTTGGCCAAAGTTGAACTCAACAGAAAGCTTACACCTGAAAATGATCCTCTCTGAAAGTCTACTGTAAAATGGGGTAAATTCTATTGAAACATACGTAACTGTTCTTGCAAACTTTTCCTGGCTGTTGTTGGGCCTTCACGCCCCATCTGCTAACCAGTGCCCTCTAGTGTTCTTTCTCAGTTAGCCACATCAGCACATTTGGGTGTATTAGTCGTTTAAGGCTCTGAGGAAGGGCAAGAACCAGGACTAAGCAATTTCTATGAACGC